TGAAATTACTGCTCTCTGACCTCTTATTAATGAATGGGGTTGCAAATCAGAAAAACAAGCAGTGAGAAGTTCATGAATAAATGGGCCCAAAGGCTGCTACCTACAGTCTGTTTAAAACTGGGAGCACGAAAAAGTCCATGGGCTCACAAAACTCTGCCTTCCAGCATCCATTAGATACCCAGGAAAAGAAGGCAATATAAATAAATTTATAAATTTAAGGTAAATATTAGGCATCAATATTTGAAGAGAAATGTAATGAGCAAAGCAGTTATTTGACAATTAGGCTGGTGTTTCTAAAAATCTGAGCTGCTGCTTTAGGGCTCTGCACTGCCCTGAATGCAAAAAAGGGCCATGCAGAGAAAAACTGGAAGTCAAACAAAAAAGATTTTTTTAAAAAAACACTAAAAATCTGGGAAGCTTTTTCTATATGTTTCTGCAAGTTAATACAAAGCACTTAATAATTCGAAAAACATTAGAAAAAGCAAGAGAAGCAATAATCAATACCTGAAAGGTCTGCCAGCCCTTATAGGACTGGTTTGAGTGTCTAAGATGTGCTATTTAAAGGTGGTTTTTGAGTGTTTTGTGCCTTTTTAGAGGCAGGCCCAGGTGCATACTTGACTGATATGAAAATCTATCTCCCATTTACATCTTGCAGTGGAGCAGAACAATTGCTCTGCATTTTGCACAGGGTTGAGTGGAGCCCTAAATGAAAATTGCTGAAACATGGACACCTAGTGGAGACATGCAGCTCTTGCTGTGCTCTTTCCAACTGAAATACACACCAAAAAAATGAACTTTTACTGCTCATCTTGCTGGAACCTGGAGTTCTGTGCCCAGCCCAGTGCTGAGCCACACGAGGTGAAGGTGATGGAGTCAGGATTTGGCCAAGCAGAAGCTTTGCCTCATTGAACAGCTCACCCAGGGGACTGATGGAGCAGAAAAACTAATGACCCACGCAGAAACAAATGGTTCTTCAGCAAAAGGTAAATAAACCTGGGACTGGAGCTCCAGGGCTGGGTGAAAATCAGGGGGTTTAAGTGCCCTTAATTCCCCCTGGAATGGCCAGCTCAGAGCTTTTGCATTTGTTTCCAGGGGGAGAAGGAAAGCAGTGGCTCTGGGGAGGCTGGATGCAGAGAAAATTAATGTTCACAGCATTTTCAAAAGCATCTAGAACAGAAATTGAGGGCAAGGAGTGCCTGTGATGCCCTCAGAGAGCCCTGATGGGATGGATCCTACAAGAATTCCACATCCAAGTGTGTTTAACCTCCAAGAACACACCATCACTGTCCGTGTCTGAAGTAAATATACTCAAGACATACTCACCTCTAAAATCCTCTTTTCTCATGCTGTTCCCTTCACTGCCATCCACCTCGGGATTGCTGCTATTAGGAGATTCCTCACTGGGTTGATGCTTGGCCAATATTTGACTTGTCTTTTTTTGTCTCCTGTGAAAACCATCTGAAACTAAGCAGAAACTAACCTTGATTTATTTCTTTAATAAACAGAATTAAGATGCTGCATGCTAATAAAAATGAAAAGTATTCCCTAGTTGTTTTGGTTTTGGTTTGTTTTTTTTTTTAAAGTTTCCAAAAACAGTCCTATATCTCTGTCAAAGTTAATGCAACCAGAATTTCCATGGGAATTTCTGTCATTCTGGGGAAAATGGAACTGGCTAGTGTAAATAACTACAGCCCATCCTCCCACTGCTGTCCACATCACCTTGTGAGAAAGAAAAGGGCTTTATTCAGAAAGGAGACCATCATCACGGGGGTTTTGTGGGTTACAACTCGGATGGGATAACAAAATTTTACAGGAACATTCTGTCAAAGCCAGACAGAAATTATTACAATGACAAATCATGACCTGAATTTCATGGGATTCCATGCAAAACCCTTTTCTTTTTTGGCACGGATTCCAAAATTACCTAAAGACACTGCAAGAACAGATCATTCTTTTATGATTTTATGAGTAGCTTTCTACATGGGTAAACAGTTTTACAGGCTGACATTTCTGTTTCTTTTAATAAGCCGAAGCATGTAAAATATGTATTTAAGGAGTACCTGGCCTGTATGTTTTGGCTGAGGTAGGACTGAGAATTAACTCCCAACTGCCTCTAAAATCCCCAAACACTCAAAAAACCACTTTGGATAACAAAACTCCCCTGTACCTTCCTGCACATGGCAACTCCATTTTCCCAGGGATAGAAACTTCATAGCACAGTAACTAGTTAATATGAGCTGCTAAATATTAGTTCATTTAATATAAAATGAGCTCCTATTTTATAAATTTCTTCCAAATGTTTCCAGCTGGGCTTTGCAGTGGCACAGTGCTTGTGGAAGGACACAAACCACAAGCAGGCTGAGAGCACAGCATTGCAAACCTTGTGCAGATTTTGAAGGAAATCGCCTCTTGTGTGGCCACAGGAGGAGTTCAGTGAGCCTGGCAGGGAGATCATGTCTTGCCACTGGGACTGGTTTTCAGCTCTACTCCTCCACCAGGGCCTGAGAAATCCCACGACAGCACAGAGCAGGAGCATCTTCCCCCTGGAAAGGCACTGGGAGCTCAGAGGGAGTCCTGTGGATGCACTGGGTCTGACATGGATGCCATAATATATCCATATTTATATCCATAGAGCTTGGGATGGCAGTGCAAACAATGGGACATTGAGAGTCAGGCAGCACAGCTGAAAGCCAGGCAGCAAAGGCAACTGTGCCAGGGTTGAAGGGTTACAGCCATGGGGATTTAGGGAAGAGTCAGGAAGCTGACATTGGCTCAGACCTTAATTTAATAATGCAATAAATCAGCAGAGTATCAAGAAATAGTAAGCAACTGAATACTTTGAGTTAGGAGCAATGAATCAGGCAGAGACAACACGGAATTCTCTGTTCCCATCCTGCCATTCCCGAGCCCAGGGACTGGAGGGCAGAGGGGGAGAGCTGAGGGATGACTCTGCAGGAGCTCGCACTCTGCCGCACTGCAGGCACAGCAGCAACGCTCCGGGAAGGGAAAACAAATCCTGAAAACTCCCAGGAAAGGGATCTCCAGTGCTTTCAGTGCAGCCCTGTGTCTCAGGCAGGATTAGCTTTATTTGTACTGTTCCTGAAGGATGTTTGTTTAACCTGCTCTGAGAAGTCCCAGTGACGGACACGGTACAATCCTCAGCTCACTCATGGATACAATATAATTTTGCAATATATTTTGCTCTTCCCATATTCCAGTGGTCCTGCAGGACAGTGCAGGTCTGTTTTGTGCATTTTGCCATTTCTAGACTGGGCTGTTTCAGCCTTGTCCCTCTCTCTTGGTCTCCTGACAGCGGTGTGGCATTCCTGACTCGCTGGGATCCACCGTGACCCCCAGGGCTGCAGTCCAGAGCTGCTCATCTGCTGCCTCATCACAAACAGGGAGCCTGCAGACATTTGTGACAGTGTCTGTACAATTATTGATAGATAACAGAAATGTGACTCATCTAAAACCTGTCCTTCAGACAGCAAGTTCTAGCTGCAGCACGATCTGGGCTTATCAGGAACAGGAGCAGATATTTGCTGAAGAAATAGGAGAGTGAACTGAGTTAATTGAGGCTGTGGGTTCCCTCCAAGGCTGCACACTGATAATGAAATGTGAGTGGCCTGTAGCTCCTCATGTTTTGTCTGCTTCTCCCTGCAGTGAACGTCCCATAGTAAATGTGTCTGCACAAAGAGAAAATGCAGATACAGCCAGCAGAGATAAACCCACTTTCATTCAAGCAAGACTTGATTTGACCAGTTCTGAAGGAGTTTTGAATCAGAGTGACATCTTTGATGTCGCTTTCATTTTGTTGCCTGGAATATTTTAATTTGGGTATTTAAATGGCAGAGCTCTGAAAATGAACCTGAAGTTTCCAGTTGTACTTTGGTGACAGGAATACATCTGGCCCCTCTGAGGTTTGGCCTCAACACTTCTTATGCAAATCAACATCAAAACAAATTAAAAGTCCTGAGCTGGTGTATCAAGCGAACCTCTGCAGGCAATAAGAACACAAGCTGATTATTCTCACGGTTTGTGCAATAATTCCTGTCTGGCCTTGTAACCACAATAGCCTGCCCTTTGGTTCACCATAAAAAAAAGGGAATGAGAGATAAAGCACCTCCTAAGGAGGATGTATTATTACAGCTTTTCAACAGGGAATTCACTGATCTCTGTTGGGAATCAGAATTCTCTGCTCCTGGAGCCAAATGGTTTTGGTCCTCCTTGTGTGACAGTGGCACCTCCCAGGGTAACCTCAAAACAGGAGCGGGTGTGTCGTGGTGAAGGTGTGACTGTGGGTTTGATGAGCAAGGCTCAAGCTGTGGAAAAAGGGATGCCGGGTCCTGAATAGTGAAAATGCTTTGTATTTTATTCAGGTGCTTTTATTTTACAGCTGCACAAGCACTTCCAGCCCAGCTGGCTCTGAGCTGCAGCACCAGCCTCACCTGGTGGGGCAGCGGTGCCTTGGCCCCGGTGGCCACTGAGCCACGGCGTTTGTTCCGGAGCCAAACGAGTGGAACATGGTCCCTGTGTCCCCCACACCGCTAATAAATCATTTCCGCCCGTGTGTCTCCTGCCCCTGCTCGGGACCGCTCACTCCAAAAGCTTCTCCCACTTGGTCACGCCAAAGCCGCAAGCGCCGGGCGATTTGTCCCTGGGAGGGACATCCCTGAATCCCAGTGAGGACATCCCTGAATCCCGGCCGGGACATCACCGCATCCCAGTGGGGACATCACCGCATCCCAGTGGGGACAGCCCCGCAGCGGAGCCGGGAGCATCCCTCGCTCGGGGCCGGCAGCCGGGACCGGGACACCCGAGCGAGCCGCTGCCGGTGGGACGGGGCCCGCACGGTGGGGATGGGGCGGGGCCGGGAACGGGAGTGGTTCTGTGTGGGCGTGGCCTGTTATGGGCGTGGCCTGTTATGGGCGGGGCCGCGAGCGGGGCTGGGGCGGTCTCGGGGCGGGGCCGTTCCCGCCCGGCCTCAGTGCGCAGGCGCGGTGGCGGTGCGGCGGTGGCTGTGACGGTGCGTGGCGCGCGCGGGTGGCGGGAGCGGCCCGGCTCGATCTCCCCGAACCCACCGGGACAGCCTGGGACCGGACACTGCCCCCGAACCCACCGGGACAGCCCAGAACTGCCCCCGGGGCCGGGTGCGGGTCTTGCAGCAGGGCCCGACCCTCCTGGCGGAGATCCCGGTGCGGCCTCAGGGGGGATCCCAGTGCAGCCCTGAGGGGGATCCCGGTGCAGCCCTGAGGGGGGATCCCGGTGCAGCCCTGAGGGGGATCCCGGTGCAGCCCTGAGGGGGGATCCCGGTGCAGCCCTGAGGGGGATCCCGGTGCGGCCTCAGGGGGGATCCCGGTGCAGCCCTCAGGGGGATCCCAGTGCAGCCCTCAGGGGGATCCCTGGCCCGCCGTCCCTCGCCAAAGCTGATCCCGGTTTAAGGCAGAGAATCCTGCCAGGCCTCGGCTGTTGGTGCAGAATGTGTTTTCTGACTGCCAGAGTCGCAGGGTACCGAGCTGGAAGGGACCCCCAGGATCATCCAGACAGCCCCCAGCCCTGCACACACACCCCAGCAATCCCTCCCTGTTCTCAGAGCGCTGTCCAAACGCTCCTGGAGCTCACGCTATTCAGAATGGCTCACATTTAGGCACTTGGATGGTTTCTGCTTCTGTGCTCATTCCTCTGCTTTATTCCTGGATGTATTTTACTCCTTTGTTACTGGAGTTTCCTTCATAAACTCTCTGCTGAGGAGCATCCCTGGATACCTCAGAGCCAGATCCAGCACATCTCTGTCTGTGTTTGTTTGGTGTAAGAGTTACAGAATTAAACCTGTGTTACCCTTCAGGATCCATGGATAATTTGTTACTGTAGAAGGGGTCTTGCTGAAACACAGAAAAATGGTTGAGCCTTAATTCCCAAGTGTTAAATCTTTTCTTTCCTCTTTTTAGGAGGATAAATTAAGAAATGGCAGAAGCAGTTTTCCACCCCCCAAGAAGGAAAAGGAGAGTTTTTGAGTCGTACGAGGCTCCCTTTCCTGTGGACGTAGGGGGGAAGGATTTCAGACTATGCCAGGCTGAGATCATTAACAACAATGTGATTGTGAGGAACCCCGAGGATATTGAACAGCTCTACAACAAGGTGCTGCACCCTGTTTGCACAATATTTGTAGTGTTTTAAATGCAGGTAAAACATAACACTGCTTCAAATCTGCTGCCGTTATGCTTTCCTGCCCCTTCAGCCTCCTATGATTCTCCATATTTCACTTCTCTCCTGAAATCAGTACAAAAGAATATATTCTGTATCAAATGTGAAAAGTATTTCTTGTGCAAGTGAATAACAGAATGAAGTGACATTGTGAGCTAAGAAACAGCTGCAAAGCCTTCATGTTTATGTCTCCTTTCAACATTTCATGCAACTTTTCAAAGCATTTTTTTGTTTTTAAAGCTCAGGGGGTTGAAATATTAATGTTTGTAAATGCTTGTATAATTCTTTTCACTTCAGAGTGATTTATTCCCCTGTGAAACAAGCTGTGTTAAGTTTTTTTGTGTCTGAGTACAATTTCAGCAGCATTCTAATGCAGAGTTGGTTTCAGGTGTTGTTTTCAAATGTTTTGTTGGCTGACAAATATTTAGAACTCAGGAAGAAGACCCAGCATTCTCCAGGCTAAATGGGATTTAAACACTCGGTTAAATCGGGTATTTAATACTGAACCAGCCACCAGCAGCTAAACAAGCTTTAGGCAGAGCTGAAATGCTGGAGGAGTTCAGCTGTTTGTTCCAGCTGATCTCACCATTCCACATTTTATAATTGGGAAAAAAGTTAATTTTTATGCCATGAGATAATTTTGGAGTTCTCCTGTCCTTTGCAGGGCTACTTTGGAAAAGGGATCCTTTCCAGGAGCCGCCCAGTGTTCAGCATTTCAGATCCTCTGCTAGTGGCCAAGTGGAGAGGTAAATGGGGGCTGTTTGTACCTCAGCACTGCTCTGGTAGCTCTTCTCACCTTTCCTTACTTGAAGGGATATTTTTCGAAATTATGTGCAGAAGAATAATCTGCTGTGTTGGATCAGGTGAAGGATATCTCTCCTCATCTTGTGCCTAGGAAAAATCCAAGAACATGAAATCCATGTGGATAATTTCTTAGTGCATTCTCCCAAACCTTCACTGAGTTGTTCCTTGGGAAGACTGAAGTAAAAGGGTCATCCTGGGACTTTTCTTCCCCTAATTTTCCTGGGGTTTAATATGCAGATTTTGGTATCCCTGAAATCATGAGGGAAGGATTGGTGAGGTCTTAGTCTGCTTGTATCCAGTCACACCCAGTCTGCTCTTGGCTGTTTATACAAAAACTCATTCTTTTACTCACCTCTCCCGTGACAGTGAAGTCCCAGTGGCCATCACTGGATTTTATCCTGTCCCTCCATGATCATCTAGAGACAAAAGTGTTACAGACTGTTATATTTGTACCTTTCTGGTTCTGCTGTGTCCCTGCTTGAAAAGTGAGATCAAAATGGCTTTGAGGACTGAAAATGGGGACAATTCCTAGGCTGCATGTCACCCCCAGAGATCAAAATCACACAAAACAGTCTTTATATTGATGAAACAATGTATGATTTTTCTTTACACAGGTGTTAACACAAACATGCCCATAATTACATCTCAAAAGTAAGTTAATTTGCCTTTTTCTCCATGTTTTTAGGAAACAGATTGTTCTGGTTTATATTTCTGTTACCGGGTTTCAGATTGTTAGTTGTATAAATAATGAGGGTGACTTGCTTCTATTTCTTCTCTCGTTATTTCATTTATGGTTCACGTTAGAAGAAGCAGAAATAGGGTGGGGGATGCTGCTCAGGGTGGTTTTTCATGTAAGTGTGTAGGTGTTGATTGAATAGAGGCCAAGGCTGAATGCATCCATAGAATGGGTAATTAATTAATTACAGTTACAAGCATAATAGAAGTTCTTCAGGTGAGGAGCAGGAGAAAGGTTTCTGGTGCAGGCTATTTAAAATATCTCTTCCCTTTCCATATGGGATTTTTATGGTGTAGCTGAAGCAGCTCTTGAACTTTTACAAAACATGACATTTTGCTTTTTTTTGAGTATCAGTTAACACTGGTAGTTTGTACACCTAGCAGAACAGTGTGTTGGACCACATATTTATTTTTTTTCTGTTTAAGTAGTGTATAAACTATTAATCATGTGCAGGTGACTTACTCAGTTGGTTTTAACTTTAGGATAACTGAAAAAATTCACTTAAATTTGAAAATTATGCTCCTGCAGCCTTCAAATTTAGGTATGAGAAATAGTAACCATATTATTACTAATGCTACCACAGTTACTACTGTTTGCAGATGCTGAGCATCAATAAAAGTGTGGTTTTATTGGTGCACAAAATGCTCTGCCTCAGTAGAGACCTGCAAGTGAAAATTAAATGATAATTAAATAATAGAACAAAGGAGCATCTTTTATATAACAAAGAGCACAGCACTGAATTACCCAGCTTTATCAGGAACCTGCAGGGAGACTTATATTTGTGTTGACACATGGAATTTGCATTTAATTGTTACCTGGGCTGAAATTGCTGCCTGAGGATTTTGTTTAGGGAAATAAAAAGTGCTGTACAATATTTGCACTTTCATGGAGTGAAGAGTCATGTTTCAACTGGATGTTATTTTCCAAGAGAAGGAACTGAGAAGGCATTAAAAACATAATTGAAAAATACTAGAAATAGTAGCTGAAAGTTGTAAATAGCTCAGTGATGGGATTATTGTCATTTCTCAGGGATATAACTGAGGGGTTTGGTTCAAAAAGTTGATTTCTTCTGGAGATTTTTCCACTGGTGTTTTTGCTGTGCCATCGCTGTTTTCAAGGCAGTTAAAGCAGAGTTTTGCAGCTCCTGCTCTCAGTCCTTGGCTGTGTAAAAGCTGAAGTGTGAGGGCTCTTATTCCATGTTTAAATCCTGCAATTCCTGCGTGGTTTTGTGGGGAATTCAAGTTTAAGGCTTCCGTGGGAGGAGGATCTTTCTGCCTGGTGAAGTTCCTGCTCCTTGAACCTGCAGCTTGTGCAGGGCTCAGCAATGGTGTTTGCTGCCAGAGAAATGTAAAAGGCCAAAGGCAGAGGAGGCAGCAGAATCCTGTTGTTCCTGAAGCTCCCAAAAAAATGGGAGCCCCATTGTGTGGATCACATTTGTGCCCAGCAGCTGCTGGGGGGGTGTTTGTGCACTGTGCTGAACCTTCTGGGATTTGAAAGTGTTAATTAAAGGAGGGAATCCCTGGAATTCTTCATTTCTTGTGTTCCCCAGGTACCAGCGCCGTGTGCAGTGGGCTAAAAGTGTCCTGCAGGAGCAGGGCCTCGACGACAGCTCCGTCACCAAAATCCTGGAGAATTACACCAAGCCCTTCTCCAGAGGGGATGGGGCTGAACCAGCTGGGGACAGCTGCACCAGAGGGGGCCCAAGCCCAGGAAATGCAGAACTGGGCAGGAAACCTGCTGGAGCCCAAAGTCCTGAGGGTCAGAACGGGGGCTCCGAGGAGGGAGGAGATGCAGCTGTGGATCCTGGGATTGGCTCCAGGAACCAGGAACTGGGGGATTCCAGGGAAATGGCTGGAGAGTCCTGCCACAGGGACCCTTCTGTGCTCCGTGGCTGCGAGGTGAAGCAGAGCCCTGAACAGAGGGCTTGGGAGGGCATGGACTCAAGGGAATGTGCTCCAGAATATGTGCTGGTGCAAGAGGAGGAAGAAGGAAGCTCCTGTCCTAAAGATGACTCCACTCATGCACAAGAGAACGTAAGAAAAAATATCCTAATCTTTAGAAAAAGCTACTTTCAGAACTCAGTATTTTTTCTAGTTCAAGCATTTTAATACTAGTCAATTTTTCTTGTAGCTTGTCAAGAAGGAAGTATTAGTATGCAGAAAAAACCCATTTAGGATTTTTGAGTACTTACAACTCAGCTTGGAAGAGGTATGTGTCAAGCACAATGCAAGTTATTTTGCTTTTCATCTGAAAAAGTAAACGTTAATCTATGCTAATCACTGTCATTTAAAATATGTTTCTAAAATACAGGGTCCTTCTCTGTCTCCTAAATACCTGGATTGTCTTAGTCATTAAACTTAGCTTTAATAAGCTGTGATAATTACAGGAGATGGTTAAAAAATAGGGTCCAATCCTATTTGCTTTAGGTGAGTAATCCCACTGACACAGAGACCAGTGACCAGACTTAAATATAGAAATAGCAGGAAAACAACATTTATATGAATCCTGTTTCAGTTCTGCTGCTTCTAAAAATATTTGTGTTAGTTTTAACACCATGCCTTCAGCAGAGATGACATTGGTAGAAAATTAATTATTGAAGCCTTTGTACTTGCAAGGCTTTGTGTGTAAACTACAGAAGGAATGTAGCTATCAGTTAAACTGACTCTGCTTGTTTTTTTCAGGCTTTTTTCTTGGTGTATGCTCTGGGATGTTTAAGTATTTATTACGGTGAGGTAAGAGACTGGGTGAGTTTTGGGGATGCTTTTTCTCTGGATATGGTTTGGTCTGAATCTTTACCTCTGTGGCAGTGATTTGTGCTGTTAGCTCTGGAAGAGGAAGTACCAAACAGAGGAATTGGGATGATTTTCTTACAAGTAACGGTATTTCTGTTTAGGAAATACAGGTCTGAAAGCTTTAAGTTTACCAAGACAAATAAAATTAAGCACTGTCTGTCTGCAGAGAAAGTATTTTTGTTGTAACTTAGGCAGGAAATACAGGAGAAATAATATGGTGAATAACTACACCTGCGATGGCAAAATTCTTTGGAGTTTTAAACATTATTTTTTTCAATCCATTATTCATGTAATGCCATAATAATTCAGATCTGTGCTTTTAGTTTAAGATTTATCTACCTTTCCTTTAACAGGGATGTTATGGGACTGATTGTGAACTGCATAAAAGACCCACTAAGTGGAGCACCTGGTTGCTGTCCTGAATTTAGGGATTCTGTGTTTCACTGTGTGCAGTTCATGCCCTGCAGCAGCCTGTGTATGTGATATTTGATGCTTGGCTGTGATGCTGTGCAGCAGAGCATGGCTGGTTTGTGTCGGTGCAGTGACTTTGCTGTGTGGTGTTTGCAGGAGCCCCTGAGCATCGTGAAGCTGTGGGAAGTGTTCAGTGAGGTGAAGCCTGATTTCAAAACCACCTACATGGCCTACCACTATTTCAGGGGCAAGGGCTGGGTGCCCAAGGTGGGGCTGAAGTACGGCACGGATCTCTGTGAGTACCTCCCCAAAAATGGGATCATTTCCTCCTCAGCCCTTCTCCAGGCAAGGCAGAACTCCAGGCCCAGAGAGGAATTCAGAGGACTGGAGCAGCCTTTGCTGCTTGCAGTTGGCAAAGGATATCTGGGTTTAGCAATGAAGTTGGGATGTGAGTGGAAAGGAACATCCCATATCCAGTAGGTGAAGAGACAGCTTGGGAGGTCCCCTTTGCTTCATGGGGTTCATAATTCCTCCAGGATTGCCCTGAAATTCCCTTCCCAACTTTCTCCCTCCCCTTCTAAACACATCTCCTGCAGTGTTAATATGACAGTTAATATGACAGTCTCTAGAATAACAGGTTTGATCCCAGTTCACATTAAAGTTCATGCACTTTATTCATCCCATTTAAGAGAATCTAGACTTCTGCTGAACTTACTGCCGAGACTGTGGGATGGTTTCTGAGGAAGATAGAGAATGGACTTTTTTTATTATTGGTTGGGGGTTTAATATTTCAGAAGTAATTAGTGGTGTCCTTGCTAAGGAATTCAAGAACTCCATTTAGCTCATGTCAGCATAAGCAGTGCAGTAAAGCCTGTTACTGCGGGAGAATGTGCATTAAAGGGAGGTATTTTGGGATGTGTGCAACCCAGCAGGTGCTGTAATGCTGCCGAAGTTTGGGGGTTGTGCTCAGCAAGGCCTTTAGGTCAGTGTGTAGCTCTGGCTGAATTCATCATCCCTGCCAAAAAATTCCATCCTAAACTCTTTCCTCCAGCAATTGCTAATTCCTCTGGTTCTTCTGCCTTACCTTTGACCTGCCCTGAGTCACTCTGCTGCTCTTCCTTCTCTCCACTTGCTGGGACAACCTAATTCAGAGCAGAATTCAGAAGAGTTGAAGTTTTGTCTTGTGTAATTAAAATTTACAATTAGACAATATTGATGGGCACTGGTATATTAAACTCACTGAAACTCTGATGTAACTGAGGTGTTTCTCTTTCATTTCAGTGCTGTATCGAAAAGGGCCCCCCTTCTACCATGCCAGGTTTGACACTCCTGTTTCTGGCTCATTCCTTTGCTTCTAATTAAATTTCACTCACACCAATTTAGCATCTTCACTGGTTCAGCACATATTCATCACTCAAAATACATTGCCAGCGGTGTTCACACCAGAAACGTGAAAATCCTTTTAGCAGAGGTGCTAAATGACACCATTTCGTTGGTTTTAAGTAACAGGCATTAAAAATTACAAGTTGCAGTGGATTTAGTACTCATATGATGGTGTGTTCAGGAAAATAATTGAATTTTGTAATACCAACTTAAAAAAATATATGGTCTGGGTTATTTATGTAATTTAAGAGAATTTTAAGGGATGGTAATTGTCTTTGTTCGTTGGTTAGTCAGGTTGAACTCCTAGATAATAAATCGGTTATAAATGTCAGCTTAGCATCAACAAAGAGAATGCTACAAACATCCAGAAGGGTGGGAAGGGAAGGCACCATTGGGCACATCCACAACTTCCTATTTCTCCTCATTTCCTTATAGAAAAAGACTCAGTTTCACAGCTTGCAACCTGGCAGATTGTTTAATGCCAGTTTTTAGCCTCTAGTTCTTGAGTTGTCTTCAGAAAATGGCAGTTTCCTTTCTGTGACTTGTCCTGCCTGCTGTGTTTTCCAGTTACTCTGTCATTGCTGAGTTGGTGGATGATAATTTTGAAGGTTCTCTTCGCAGACCCCTCAGCTGGATGTCCCTGTCTGGGCTGAACAGAACAACTGCAAACGCTTCCAAGGTACAGGTGTTGGGATGAAAACAGCTTTGGGATGATAAAGTTTGCTCCAAAGGGCAGGAACTTGGAGTGAGGCTGGGAAAAGAATCCTGCTGAACAATATGTTGGTCAGCCAGCAGGGAGAGAAGTTTCCTTTGCCAATATCCAGGTGAATCCTGGAAGAATTAATATTAAATAATAATAATTAAAGTTCTGCCACCTGTAGGAATGTTAAAAGTTGTGTGAGGAACGGCAAAAAGACCAAGGGACGCTTATTTCCTGACTGCCACTTCTGCTTTTAAAGCCCTTTCCATCTCCCAGGATTTTCTTTTGAGCAATGAGAGTGAAATTTCCGAGATTTTCTGTGTGAGCTTCACGGTGCTTCCATAATCCACTGAAATTCCCGTGTTTCCTGGCTGCCCACAGGAGCTCATGCTGTGCTATTTGATCAGGCCTTCTGACATGACTGCAGAGGAGATGTCAACCCCAGAGTGCATGAAGAGAATCAAGGTCCAGGTGAGAGGTTCCTGCTGTTTTGCAGCTCCTGGGGAGAACTGTGCCTGGCTCTTCGCCTTGATTTGGCTGCAATACAATTAAATTCCTTCATGCATTGCATAAAGTGCATTGCAGGATCCCTACAAACATTGAATCTCCTAATCTGAATGCGAAATGTTGCCAGTAGTGTGCGTGTAAGCATTTGAGTGGGGAAATAAGGATTTCTAAAAAAAACTGTGGAGGTGGCAGGGCTAAACTAATTTCAGAAATCAAAGGAGAAAAGCGTGTGTGAGGTCAGCTCACTTCAGGAACAATCATCTGCTAAAATATCTCAGTGGTCACATAATACTTATCAATTTTACACACCTAGTCCCCATGCCTCACTGATTTTCTGTAGCTTTGAGGTTTTTTCCATAATTGCTGGCTTTTATTTCAGGAGCTGATTGTGACTCGTTGGGTTTCCTCCCGTGAGCGCAGTGAGCAGGAAGAATTGTAACTGCCTGCACAAGAAAATCTCACTTTTTAAAAGCCACTTCTTCTTGTTTTTTACCTGATCTTGTGATGAACTGTTCCCTCAGAACATTTTCTGCCAACATGTTCACTTGGTGTGTATAAATGCTGTATAAAATGAGGTGTAACATGTTTACTGGAGAGAATGTTTTACTGTAAAATGTAAGTGAACTGATGAAAGGGAAAAAATTAAATGTGTCCCAACTCAAAATATAAAATAAAATATAAAAAGGTGCGTATTTGAGTAGTGGCTACACTGCAGTTATTAGGAACAGTATTTCTGGTGTTATGGCAGCACAACTCTTGACTTCAGTCTTTGTGAATTGAGATTTGGATTTGGGGAGAGGTTTGGTTGTTGCAGTTGGGACCCTGGAACTTATTTTTACAATCACAGCTCAGAGTTGGGGAACTCTTCCCAGAATTTAGATTTATTCTGGAGCCTGGGCACCTTTCCCCATCTGCGTGAGATGTGTTTTTTCCTCTTGGGATTTGCAGCTTCACATTCAGGTATCTGAATTCCACCTTGGCTTCTTTCCTTTACCACGCACTTCAGAACAGAAAAAATCTGATGGGCAAAGAGGCCGGAGTTATTTGCTGGTATATTTATTAGCAATTAAAGGAAAGGAAATTCACAGTCAGACAGGAATTTGGGATCTCAGCAGCACACAAGCACATGTTCCCTTTTTTTCACTCATCAGTAAACAAAGGTGACAGGAAAAGGCCGCTTTGGTTTGCTACAGCTGAAGTTCCCGGTTCATTTGTAAAGCCCTGAATTCCACAGCAGTTCTGATTTCTGGTGTGAAGTCTTTGCAGAACAGAGCACACAAGGAATGTTAAATCAGAAAACATTTTTCCACAGGAATTCTGTTGTGTGTACATTGTGTTACTTCACTGAAATGCACAAGCTCATTGTCCTGACCCCTCCCTGAGGCGCAGGGCGAAGGTAATGCTGATTTAACACCATTAAACCCTAACCCTGAGCTGTGCAGCCTGCCTTTCCCACTGCTACTCCAGCAGGCTCTGGTTTCCAGCCACACTGTCCTGCTCCTGCTCCTGCTCAGCCAAGGGCACGATGTAGAAGTCCCTGTGAGCCAGCTGCTGGTGCAGGGTGAGGTACCTGGAGGCCTCCCTGCTGTGGGGGAGCACGAAGCTCTCGGTGAACTGGGCTTTGCTCAGGGGCTCCCGGCCCCGGCCCTGCCGCACGCGGTTGACGAAGGCCAGGGCGAAGGTGAAACAGTTGTGCTGCTGCTCCTCGTACCTGGGGAAATGTTTTATATAGGTGCAAAACTTGTAAAAGAAAGGCTTCATAAAATCATGGCTTAGGCCTGGTGCTTCAACTGAGTGCAGCTAGCTGGACTGTTAAGTTCCCATGAAAAAAAAAAATTAAGAAAATGAGAATCAGTTTAAATAACAATCTGTTCAAGTAAGGAAACTGCTCACACCAATAAAAACAAAGCCTGTCTCATAAGAATCCCCAAAGAAAGTATGTAAACGCCCATGAAAAGAGAGAGTCTTAGCATGTACACACACAAACACCTTCTAACCAATGAATTAAGCAGCAAGAAAGTTATTGACCAATTAAACACCATGACTTCCAAAACTGTATAAAAATATGAGCTATGCAATAAAGATTCAGCTCATGAAAAATCAAGAATCCTGTCAGTTTCTACTGCAGCAGGGAAACACCTTCTCAGCAGGACTCCACTACTCCTGGGGGAGTGTTCCCTCAAGGAACACTCTCCAGGAACTTCTCCATCCCAGCAGTTCAGTATATTCATTACAAGTGGGACTTCCCAGCCTGAACTCTGAGCATAAAAATGAGAGGGCTGCAAGAGTTGACAAAAACGAGTTCTTATTTTTTTTATACCTACTTGGCTTTTCCCTTGTTAACCTTTGCTCTTCCAGCTATTGCTAGCAGCTCTTTCCTGCAGCCCCAGACTTAACTGTGTGCCACCACCATTTAAAATCCTTCTATCAGAGCTGTTCCCTACTACCCTTCAGTAAGTTGAAAAGCTATCAAGAAAACCAGAATTAGGTTTGTCCTGATCCCAAAGGAGCTACAGGATTAGTTTGGTGCAGTTCCTGTCCATTGACAAAATAAGCAGAGGGTTTAATTAAAAGAGTTGTTTTCAGTTCAGTGGTCACTGGTGGTGTTGTGGAAAAAGGTCACTGTGTCAGAAGGGGGCAGATGGAAACCAGGGAAAAGCCTGGAGAAGGGATGCACACATCTCTGACCTTCTGCCAGTGATTTTTTCATGTCAAGGCAATTTTAGTATTACTGGGAACTGTAAAAGTGACACAAATTCTGTTGGCTTTACCAGCTCTGTAAACTTCTAAAAATTCTGTTCTAAATCAAATTTTCCATCTCTTTTAGGGAGGTAATGTTTGATCCCTGAAATTTTATACTCAGCACATAGAGAACTGCTAAGAAATGCTTTTAATTCAATGTTTTTTTTCTTTCTTCTCTATTATGGTTACACTCACTCAGTGACACCCAGGCAGGCTGTGTCACAGCTGCTCTCACTGAGGGACAATCCCACGACTGGTGTTTCCCTGGACAGCTGCTCTGTCACCACTGGAGCTGGAAATCAGCCTGGTTCCCACTTCTCACCACTGACATCAAAAAACAACTGGCCAAGAATCTCATCACTGTGCTCAGCCTTTCTATGCAAATACACCTCAAACTGCTGAAACCTCAAAAAATAATTATGGAATTGTGCCTGCACTTTTGTACTCCGCTGCATGCAGGTCATGATTCATCAAACTGGGGCTTTTAACATAAAATCCCCTAAAAGCACCTCTTGCTTTAGAGATTTTGTGTTCAAGCAGCTGAGTTTTGCTTAAAATTCAGAACATTCTGGCCAGCCAGGCCAGGCTGCCAGCAATGTGTGTCCTGAAGGACACCAGGCTCTGAAACCCCCAAACCTCATCCCAAACACACCCCAGCTGTTCCCTACACACCTGTCAGGGAGCCAGGCCTCTTCCAAGGAGAATTCCTCCAGGAGGTTGTCCCACTGCTGCAGGAGCTCCCACATGTCCGGCTGCACCAGGGCGACGCTGATGCACTGCTCCCAGCCACTGCCATCCCTGTGCACACCCTCCTGGTCATAGTTGTACACCACACCTGCAAACAGCAGTGGGGTGCTGGGGAACACACACACACAGCCCTTTTTGGGGCTTGTGCTGACTCAACTTCCCATCAGCCGAGTAGGAAATGCAGTCCTAGCATCTAGCAAACATCTGGTCTCATTTCCACAGCATGGTTTGGAAAAAAGTTTGGCTCTTTTAATAATCATCGCATCAGGCTTCGTTTTTAACCCCCAAAGGAGACTGGCTTTGTATTAAATACACAACTGAAATGATGTTTTGAAGGGTGGGTAGGTAGAACCCAATACTATTTTTAACGTGGCTTTTAAAACTGTTTTTTTAATTAGGGGTGTTTTTAGAATTGCCAAAAACTATGTTACTCTCAATTAAACTGTAATTCCTTTAAAGCAAGCCTAGCCCTTCATTCCAGGGGTGGAAGGCACCTGTTTATTCCATTCAATGCCTGTTTAATCCAGTCAGGAGAAGGGATTTGCTCTGGAGCTCTGTCGCACAGCGAGATCATTCCCAGTGAGCCCATCCCAGGATATTCGCAGCTGCAGCTCCCAGAGCAGCAGGGGTGGCAGGTGGGGTGGCTGAGGGGGTTCCTGCGGGGTGTGGGAGGCGGCACGGCTCGGCAGGGACCCGCGGCTTACCCTGGGAATTGGTGATCCCGACGTGGAGGTCGCAGTGCCCGTCGTAGTCGCTGGAAGAGGAGCAGAGGGGCTGAGGAGTGTCCGTGCACAGCCCAGAGCTCCCAGAGCGGCTGTGAGCCCTGTCCCGTCCTTTCCCTTCTCCCTTGTCTTCCCATTTCACCTCCTCCTCCTTTCCCTTCCCTTTTCCCCTTCCCCTGTCCTTCCCTCTCTCTTGTCTTACCATTTCATTTCCTCCCCCCTTCGTCTTCCATTCCCATTCCTTTACCGGCCCTCTCCGTCCCCATTCCCTTCCCTTTTCCCCTCCCATTCCCTCTCAGTGCCCGCCCCTTTCCCCATATCCCTCCCCTTTCCCCTCCCACTCCCGTTCCTCTTGTCCCTCCCCTTTTCCATCCCGTTCCCATTCCCCATATCCTTCCCTTTCCCCTTTCCCCTCCCATTCCCCATATCCCTCCCTTTGCCCCTCCCTTTCCCCTTTCCCCTCCCATTCCCCATATCCCTCCCTTTGCCCCTCCCTTTCCCCTTTCCCCTCCCATTCCCCATATCCCTCCCTTTGCCCCTCCCTTTCCCCTTTCCCCTCCCATTCCCCATATCCCTCCCTTTGCCCCTCCCTTTCCCCTTTCCCCTCCCATTCCCCATATCCCTCCCTTTGCCCCTCCCTTTCCCCTTTCCCCTCCCATTCCCCATATCCCTCCCTTTGCCCCTCCCTTTCCCCTTTCCCCTCCCATTCCCCATATCCCTCCCTTTGCCCCTCCCTTTCCCCTTTCCCCTCCCATTCCCCATATCCCTCCCTTTGCCCCTCCCTTTCCCCTTTCCCCTCCCATTCCCCATATCCCTCCCTTTGCCCCTCCCTTTCCCCTTTCCCCTCCCATTCCCCATATCCCTCCCTTTGCCCCTCCCTTTCCCCTTTCCCCTCCCATTCCCCATATCCCTCCCTTTGCCCCTCCCTTTCCCCTTTCCCCTCCCATTCCCCATATCCCTCCCTTTGCCCCTCCCTTTCCCCTTTCCCCTCCCATTCCCCATATCCCTCCCTTTGCCCCTCCCTTTCCCCTTTCCCCTCCCATTCCCCATATCCCTCCCTTTGCCCCTCCCTTTCCCCTTTCCCCTCCCATTCCCCATATCCCTCCCTTTGCCCCTCCCTTTCCCCTTTCCCCTCCCATTCCCCATATCCCTCCCTTTGCCCCTCCCTTTCCCCTTTCCCCTCCCATTCCCCATATCCCTCCCTTTGCCCCTCCCTTTCCCCTTTCCCCTCCCATTCCCCATATCCCTCCCTTTGCCCCTCCCTTTCCCCTTTCCCCTCCCATTCCCCATATCCCTCCCTTTGCCCCTCCCTTTCCCCTTTCCCCTCCCATTCCCCATATCCCTCCCTTTGCCCCTCCCTTTCCCCTTTCCCCTCCCATTCCCCATATCCCTCCCTTTGCCCCTCCCTTTCCCCTTTCCCCTCCCATTCCCCATATCCCTCCCTTTGCCCCTCCCTTTCCCCTTTCCCCTCCCATTCCCCATATCCCTCCCTTTGCCCCTCCCTTTCCCCTTTCCCCTCCCATTCCCCATATCCCTCCCTTTGCCCCTCCCTTTCCCCTTTCCCCTCCCATTCCCCATATCCCTCCCTTTTCCCCTCCCTTTCCCCTTTCCCCTCCCGTTCCCGTTCCCGCCGTTTCCCCTCAGGCCGGTCCCCGCGCGCGCGGCGCCCCCTGGCGGTTACAGCAGGAAGGTGCCGCGGCTGGGCCTGATGAGGAAGGCGCGGGGCTGTCCGTGGCCGTGCCGGAAGGGGCAGCGCAGGCGGGCGGGCGCTGCGGCCAGCCCCGCGCTCCGCAGGTCCCCGCCGCACGCGGGGCAGCGCGGCGGCACGCGCCGGCAGTACAGCAGCGCGCGGCAGTGGCGCACGCGCAGCAGCGCCATGGCCCGGCGCGGCGGCCTAAACCGTCCGGCCGGAAACGCGGCCTCGGGGCGGGGCCGCGGCCACGCCCATCCCTCCCGCTGCGCGGAACCTCGGTGCGCGGATTGAGGAGCCGGGCGGGCCCGGCAGAGCGGTGCACGATGAGCACGAAGCAGGTGACGTGCAGGTGAGCGCGGCCCGGCCGGGCCCGGAGCCCTCGCAGCCCTCAGACACCCCCGGCCCCTGCCCCGCGCCGTCGCAGCCCCCTCGTTCCGCTCTCACGCCCGCCACGCTCCGTCCGTGCTCGGCTGGAGGTCGTGGGTGCCCCCCGAGCCACCCTTGTCCCCTCGCTCTCCCCCGCGGGCTGCCCGGGAAACAAGCGGGGGCAGTATGAGAAGGCTCCTCCGAGTCTCCTCGGGGAAGTTTGGTTCACTGAAAGGGCTCGGATAATGGAAGGGCTGCCCGGGGAGGTTCGGGGTGCCCGTCCCTGGAGGTGGCCGTGGAGCGCCCTGGGCTGGGGGCAGCCTGGGGCTCGCTGGGCTGGGAGGGCTTGTCCAGCCTCGGTGATTCTGTGAACACAAACCAAACCAAACCCGGGCAAACCGTTCCTCCTGCTGTGACCTGCGCCTCTCCACAGGTACTACTTGCAGGGCGTGTGTCGGGAGGGAAGCAAGTGCCTGTTCTCCCATGATTTGGCCACCAGCAAATCCTCCACCATCTGCAAGTACTACCAGAAGGGGCAGTGTGCCTACGGCGCCCGCTGCAGGTAACCCCCGCTCCCCGGGCTGCCCGAGGGCTCCCGTCCTGTCAGCTTCACCCCAGGGCAGTCACAGAGCCAGCAGAGAGGACCAGGGGAATGAAATAATTTATTAAAAGCGAGTTTTCCCAGGGCCAAAAGCAGGCTTCGCCTCTGGTAGTGGAGTTGCGCTCTGGCTCAATTCAGGGATTGTTTTGCTCTGTGGGAACTGAGCTTTGGGTTTCACATCTTTCCCATCCAGGTCTTGCAGTCAGAGCTGCAGGTGTCTGTGGAAAGGCCACGGAGAGGCTGGAAGCTCCTGGTGCAGCTCCCAGCCACCCTCTTGCACATCCCAGTGCACAATTTTGGGGACTTTCAGCTCTCTCCTCGTGTCCCCCTGGGTTGGTGGGAAGGCTGAACAATTCCACAGCTTTCCCTGGAGTCTCCAGGTTAAAACTCTCAGAGGAATCCTCTAGGGAATGCTGTTTCATCAGGGATTTGCCACGGGGATCCTTCCTGGAGGAATTCCCTGCTGGCTGAGGAGCCTGGAGCTCACCTCAGAGTTCCCTGCTCACCTCAGAGTTCCCTAATCCTTGTGCCAGAGCAGGATCATGGGCTGGACATCAGTGATTCCATCAGCTGCTCACCTGGAATTGGTGGTGTGGGATGGGCTGAGTGACTCCCTGGGATCAGTATTGGCTGCAAGCCGTGTGTGGTTTTTCTCCAGCTGTTTGGCTGGAATTTGGGCACTGGGTGCACGTGTCCAGGTCCACAAAGAGCTGGGGAGTATTTCTGTTCCCGTGTAAATACTGTAGCATTGGGTGTGTCCATGGAGCAGCCCCTGTACTCCCCTGGCTGCTCCTGCTCTGCTGCTGGGGTGTTTCTGCGGTCCCACCGGCTGTCTGGGGTCCTCTCCTTTCCCGGAGCCGCTGGTTCGGTGTCTCGGTGCCCGGCCCGATCCCGGTTTTCCTGCCGCAGGTATGACCACGTGAGGCTCCCTCCGGCGGGCGGAGCCGCGGCCCCGCCGCCCCCCGCGGCCCCGGGCAGCCCCCGGGCGCCCCCCGAGCACGGCCCCGCCGCCCCGCGCAGCCGGAGGGAGAAGAGGACGCTGGTGCTCCGGGACAGGGGTGAGTGGGAGGCTGCTCTGCCCGGCACCAGGGAGGGAGGGAGAGGGAGGGAGGTGTTGTCCCCTGTGATTATGGGAGTTTCAAGGCCAGCCAGAACTCCCTCCTGGAGCCTCCTTCCCGCACACACTCTGCCTGTCATCCTTTTCAATGGCTCTGGGAAGTGACTGCTTCCATTCTGCTCCCTGAGGGATGGTGAGAGGAGTGTTTTGTCCACCCTGACAGGACAAAACTATCCTGGGGGAATGTCAGGCTCTGCTCCCGGACAGTCAGCAACAGGACAAGAGGAGCTGTTTGATCCCTCGAGCCTGGGCAGTTCGGGCCGGACACGAGGAAGAATTTTTTCATGGGCAGGGTGGTCAGGCACTGGAAGGGAATCATCATCCCTGGAGGTGTCCAAGGGACAGCTGGATGTGGCACTCGGTGCTCTGGGCTGGGAGACAAAGTGGGGTTTGGTTAAACTTGATTATCTTGGGGGTCTTCTCCATCCTTAATGATTCTGTGATTTTTTTTTTAGTCTATTTGTGACCAGAAAACACCTGAATAAACGCTGCAGTTGAACTCCTCAGTAGGCAGCTTGGGAAAATCCCTGCCATTCATGAGCAGAAAGGGCTTAGAGATGAGATCCCATTGGGAAGAAAAGTTGAGATTCGGAGCGACAGGAGCTGGTGGGGGTTGAGTGCAGTGCCCTGTGCTTGTCCCTCCAGATCTATGCGGCTCCAGCGAGGAGAAGCAGCGGGCTGGCGCCCCCAGCGGCCCTGGGGCTGTTGTGTGCTGCGGCGAGCCCGGGGACAGCGAGGAGGGCAAGCCCCACTCGTACCTGGAGGCCATCTGCAGCGGGCTGGAGGAGCCGGGCGCCGGCGCCACCGAGCAGCTGTGTCCCTACGCCGCCGCCGGCGCCTGCCACTTCGGGGAGCGCTGCCTGTACCTGCACGGGGAGCTCTGCGAGATCTGCGGCCTCCAGGTGCTGCACCCCTTCGACCAGGAGCAGAGGAAGGCCCACGAGATGGTAAAGGGGGAGCTGGGAAAGCTGCTCAGGGCAGGGTTGGGGCTCTAAAGATGGGCTTTGCAGGAGAGCTTCTTCCAAAGAGCTTCTGTTGTATTGCTTGTCTGGAGAGCGGTGTGGAGAGCGGCCAGCTCGAGCCCCTGGAGCCGAGTTGGCAATGATGCTGCAGGGAGCAGCTTGTGGTTTTTCCAATTTCATCCTCATCAGAGACTGGCCTGCTGCCTTCTCCCACAGCACCCTGAAAGTCTCCCAGGAGAATGTCTCTGGGAGGTCTCTGAGTCACCAGCTCACCTCGCAGTGCTCTGGGAGTGGGAATGGGTTGTGGATTGTCACTGCTGGGATGAGAAGTGCTGGGGGAAAGCCTGAAGTAAGAGACTAATTCCTTAACTGGGTAAAAATTAGCACCTGATGAATGAAGGTGGCCTTAATTATCATCAGAGGAACACCTTGAGTGTGGCACCTATTTAATGAGATGCTTTCTGGGGATGTTTGAAGCACCTCAGTTCAGTATCTGTTATCTGACAGAGATGCAGAAAGGGATGAGTGAAGCACCCTGGCATCTTTATTTCTGACAGCTGAGAGAACACTGAAGGCTGAAATGCCATGATTGATTTTAATGTGTTTTAAGTTAAACTCTGCAGTGATGGGGAAGAATGATGTCCTCAGTGAGTGTTCCATGTTCTGCCTGCAGCAGATCCTTTCCAGAGGGAATTTGGTTTGGCAGGCTGGCACTCACAGTGGCTTTCTCCCCTGACAGATGTGCATGGCAACGTTTGAGCACGACATGGAGAGGGCCTTTGCCATCCAGGCCAGCCAGGACAAGGTGTGCAGCATCTGCATGGAGGTGGTGTATGAGAAGCCCTCAGCCTCGGAGAGGAGGTTTGGGATCCTGTCCAACTGCACCCACACGTACTGCCTGTCCTGCATCCGCCAGTGGAGATGTGCCAAGCAGTTCGAGAACCCCATCATCAAGTGAGTTCTGGCACCTGCCACGGCCTGAGAGGGGCTGAGCCTGCTCACACAGTGGGGCTGGAGCTGCAGGTGTTAACAGAGCTCAGCAAAGGCTGCTCCAGCTGCTGGCCAGGCCCAGGACTTGGCTGAGAGCTGCCTGCACAAGCAGCAGGGTGCACTGGGTGTCCTTTGGTACCAGTTCCCTTAATTCCATGGCCCTGCATGGGCAGTTTGGCCAGTGGCAGCTCAGTCCTCTCTGATTGTGTGGTCAGTGGGCAGAGTGGACTCTGCAACAGCTGGGACCTTGCAAAGTTCTGCCCCTTGCATTGACCAAAAGCTCCATTTTTTCCTAAGGATGTGCTTAACTACAGGATTTTTCCCCTAAACTGCAGCTTGCTCTACGTAAATGTCCCACTAACCACGCTTTCATCTGTCTCAGTAAATGCCTTTATCTTCTAGCTCTACAAAAAATGTGTTCCAAACATGTTCCCCTTCAGATGAGAGAATTTAAAACATCCACTTAGGGCAGTTTCTGTCTTTGAGCATCTCTCAAGTTACAAACATGCTGAAGAAAAGGTGGGAAATATTTTCAGACTTTTCTGCACAACTTTGACTCCAAATGTCACTGAAGTGACCGTCAGCTCCTTGCATTTTAAAAGGCTGAGACACCTTAATTTGTGGTTTTGGCTGCACTCACAGAACACAGTTTATTTCTACACACTGTGGAAATCCCTATTGCGTTTGCTCAGGTCCAGAAACAAACACAAGCCCTGGGTGCCCTGAATTGTGTTATTCCAGCTGGAATGCACACAAGGTGTTGTACTAACGTGGGAGGAGGTGGCTGCTGCCCGAGGTGACGAAGATCCCCTTTCCCTCAGGAGGATCCTCACTGCTTGGGGCAGATCTGTGGAGGGTTTCAGGCTGGGGAGGCCCCAGAGCATCTCTGGTTTGTCTTGTTGCTCCAGGTCCTGCCCTGAGTGCCGGGTGATCTCCGAGTTTGTCATCCCCAGCGTGTACTGGGTGGAAGAGCAGGAGAAGAAAAATGAGCTGATTGAAGCATTTAAGCAGGGAGTGGGGTAAGTGCAGCAACCACCCACATTCCTCACGTTGTTCTTTAGCTGCTTCAAGACTCAGTCAGTTGCTGAGCCTTTATTTTTAACCTTAATGTAATTACAGACCACTCTGCAGCGAGCTCCTCATCTCTGGTCACACTTCTGCTTCACTCTGTGGCTGTGTAATTGTAGATCAGAAATTCAGCCTCTGTGTGCTCAGAAATGTTAAAGCTATTTCAGCTCACTTGCCAGAATTGGCTTCATGTGGCTTCTGTGGATGCCTCAGCCATAATTGCCTGGAGGGTTGTTGGTGACCGAGGAGCGCAGAGAGGGAAGGAAAACAAAGAGTTTCACTGCTGCTCTCAGCTGGGGGAGGCCAGAGCTCTGGCAGTGTTACCAGAGCCTTACTGAGACTGTGGGGACTGAACTGCTTCTCCTTCCCTTCCAGCTTGAAGACAGTAACCCTTTTTCTTCTAATTAACTCAGGAAAAAGCCCTGCAAGTACTTCGAGCAGGGGAAGGGAACGTGTCCCTTTGGAGGGAAGTGTCTTTACCTCCACGCTTACCCCGACGGGACCCGAGCTGAGCCTGAGAAGCCGCGGAAGCAGCTCAGCTCCGAGGGCACTGTGCGGGTAAGGAGGGCCCTGCTGTCACCCAGACCTCATTTCAGTGTCACCTGTGCAGCTGGGAATGGCTCCTGCCGTGCAGGACAAGGGAACAAAGCACCTCTCGGTGTTCCTTGGGCAAGGGTTTGTTCTTGCAGACAGAAGGTGCTGCTCATTTACCTGCAAAGTATCATTGCTTTGTTTTTTCAACCAGTCCAGACCTTTGCTCGCAGGAATTCTGCTCTTAAAGCTTTCACCCACAGTACTCCAAGCTCCTCTCCTGTGCTTGGCACTAAGGGCAGGTGAAAAGGGTGAAACCTCACACAGTGGTGGTGCCTCTGCCCCAGCTGTGTCCCTTCACGGCCTGTTCTGGGACACGAGAGCCTGGCTGTCACCCTGAGCTCCGAGCTATGTGATCTCATCTCGTGATGGTTTTCAGTGAGGAAATGAGTGCCCAGGCCAGCGTTGTGCTGGCTGGGGGTGCTCAGGCAGCTTTTTCTCTGTTGCAGTTCTTCAACTCCGTGCGCCTGTGGGACTTCATCGAGGACAGGGAGAGCAGGAGCGCGCCCGGCGCCGACAGCGAGGTCACGGAGCTGGGGGAGCTGTTCATGCACCTCTCTGGGGCTGAGGAGGATCCCACTGCAGCCCAGTGAGCACACACAGCCCCTCTGAGCCCAGCAGTGCTGCTATTTATTAGCCATGCTTTTATTCCCTCCAGCACACGTAGAACAAAACGTGCCCTGGTGGTTACTCGTGCAGTCCTGGTAAAGTTTTCAGATAGTTTTTATATGGCAACAAAAAAAAAAAAAAAAGAAAAAACAACAACAACAAAAGACTAAATATATTTAAAAAACAAAAAATAAATTGGCTGCATGGAAAAAAATCCCTTAATCCCAGGAGGGTTTTCTCCCTCTCTGGCCTAACATATGCTGTCTTGTGAGCTGAGTGGTAGTGTAAATACAGGTCCAGTGCAAGCTTAAGCTGGTAAAAACTGTTGCTAAATAGAGTTTGGGTGCATTGGGGTTTTTTTTCCTCTGCTAGATCAGCTAAATGTAGAACTACAAACCCCACTGGGAATAATGGTCACAGTGTAGGGTTTTCTCCTTAAAAAGGAGCTGGTGCATTGTACCTCAAACAGTACCTGGAGTTCAGTTTGGTGGATTCTCTGTGTGTGTGGGGCCGGGGCTGGGCAGGGCCGAGTCCCCAGCCCTGTTTCACACCAGTCAGGTGCTCAGAGGCAGCAGTGGCTCCTGCTGGGAAGCAAAGGCAGCTGCACTGATTCCTGAACTGGCTGCACAAACTGGAGCTTGGAGCAGGAGAGTGAGGTGTTCCCATATCCCAGTGATTGCTCAGCCAGGCCTGCCCCACAGCCAGGGGTGGCTCTGCAGCAGCTCAGTGCCTCCACTCCTCTTTTCCCCAGCCATGCTGAAGGCCCAGGAGGGCTGGGGGATCAATGCACATCGCTGCATTCTGCATTCAGAACTGCTACTGAATTCTGGCTTTGTTAAAAACCTGATTTCTGTTGCTGTGGCAAAGGCAGTTGGATTGTGAAATCTGGTACCAGAAGTTAATTCTGTCTGCCAAGTCATCTGTATTAACTTTGCAGCTAAAGCAGGAATTCAGTGTGCACTCAAGTGGCTGCTCTAACAGCATGGACACACCTGAGCATGAGCTGTCACTGACTCAGGTCCTTGTAAATCACTTGGGCTCGGAGTGAGACACTGAGCAGTGTTTGTAAACACAGAGATGAGGAGTTTATTGCAGAACACTTTGGTTGCAATGGAAGGCAGGTGTGTAACTGGTTTGGTTATTATCTATAGCAGTATAAAAGCATAAAAATTAATACTTAATGTGTAAGAAAGAAAGGCCAAGAGCAGAAAGCTGACCCATGGATCAGTGATGGTCCCAGTCTTGATCCACCAGGGGAGGAAAATTAGGAAGCAAAATGTGTTCAGAGAGAGCTGGACAGGAAGCTGCTGCCATCCCTGGGGTGGTGACACCAGGATCGGGGTCCCTGCTAGGAGGCAACAGCAGGAACCTTAATCTGGGATTCAAACATCTTTAACTGGCACCAAAGCAGTGACTCCAGGATTTTCCATCCAGCTGATGTTAGCATTTCTGGGTCAGGAGCTCCTCCCCTCTGCCCCTGCCAGCTGTGCCCTCTGTTCTGACCTGGAAATTAAACTTTCCCATCATTATTCCCCCCTAAAGTTAATTTTTAGCAGTGCTCACTGCACAGTCAGGTCTGGCCTTGGCAGTGTCTGTAACAAACAACAATTCCCAGTTCCTTGGTGAAACTGGCCCAGGACAGGTCCTAAATCCAATCAGTGCAATTGCTCAGCACTAAGGAGAAGGTAAATTATCCCTAAGAGGGATGGCACACACTACAGTGAATGTTCCAAGGGCACCCAAACACCCCTTCTACCCCAGAATACTTCCCCAGCTCTCACCCTTCCTCAATTCCTTCTTTTTTATTTTTCCATCCATTTTTTTTTTCCAGAAGGAAACACTGTCAGGTATACACCAAAAAAAAAAATAAAAATCAATGGATAGGATGTCCTTTACCTTACACAAGACATTCCTCATTTACTTTGCCCCAAGAAATGAGGAGGAGTAGTCTGAAATTAAAAAGATACTTTTTTAAAGCTACCCAGGGACTTTAAAATGTCTGAGTTTCTAAGTTCTTCACTCAGCAGCTTTTATTTAATTGGACATCAAGTGCTGGTTACAATAAACCCACTTATGAAAAATACTTCATTTTTTCAAGAGACACATGATCTGCTTTAAATATCATGGGTTAATGGTTTCTTTTGGGAAATCAGAGTTAAAGCAACTTACCTCTTCTGGGTTTTTTTTTCTATCGTGTTTTAAGCTCATTGTCATGAAGCGAAAATTAGAGATAAAGAATGTTTAGAAGAGAGTTGCAGTCCAAATACCAATAGTATTATTAAAAACCATGCAGAACTATATGGAGCAGTCTCCTTCAAGTCTCAATTCACTACTTAGGAAGCATTCTGTTATCTTTGAGCATTCTGTTATCACCCAGGGATGAATATTCTACCCTTACCCTGGTATGGAACATTCTGAGGACAAACTGGAGGTGATTTCTGTGTCTGGCTCTCCTCCCTTGCACGGGAGCTTTGTGGGGTTTTGCTGCTGCAGAGGCTGTTTGGGCATTCCAGGGAGAGCTGGACACAGGGATTGTCACAGTTCCCAGCAAAGGCAGCAGATCTGCCCAGCAGCTTTGGGGTGGAGGTGCCTGAGGGCACAGCCAGCCCCTGCCCCACTCCTTGTGCACCCACAGAAAGGCAAAATCCCAAACTGGGCTTCCCAAACCGTGCCCTAATAACCAAATAACCCTCATTTCACCAACTGCTATTTGAAAAAACCCATTTTTAGATTCAGCCACCTATTCCCGATTCCATGGGAGTTCAGCCAACAAAAAACTGACTTGCACCTCAATAAACCAGAGAAAAGAGCAGAAGTGGTGCAGGGAAAGAGCCTGAGAGCACATCAGGGTGGGTGTCCAGAGCAGCTGCTGCTGAAAGGTCATTATAGTACAGAAAAACTGTCTTGTCATGTGACTGGAAACATAGAGGTTGTTTCATCCAGTGTGTTTTTACTTGCACTGCTATTATTTATCAGTTCCTTTTTAAAAATTATTCAGAATGTCATTTCTTGAGTTTTCCAAATGCAGATGTCCCACTCAGAACTGTGGATGACTACATTAAAATGATGACATTGAATCTTAAACCTAAAATTTAATTTATTTTATTAAAATAAGATAATCAGAGGAACCTTGGCTTACAATAAATGCATTTTCTCAGGAGCAATAAAAACAAAATTAAAACCCAAATCAACAAGAAAAACTGTATATGCTCAGTTTCCTCTTGCTAGTGCATCTCTTGGACGACAGCTTCCGATGGGATGCAGCCTCTGCAGGAGGTGGGAACATCCCTCAGCCTTTTCCAGCCCCCAGCCCAGCATCCCTCACTCACCCCTGCCTGGGCTGCAGGAACAGGTCCATAGTACCAAAGGCAGCTGGGAGGCTTCTCAAGATGACCAAAGCAGGACTGGCTCACCGCCTTCTCTGAGCAGGACAATTCACAACTGATTCCATCCTTTTGCAAGAGTTTTTCTTCTATGTGCAAAACTATTGCAAAACTATTTTGTGTTGAATTAGCATTTTAACTTATTTCATTGGCTTGGTGAAGCTCTTAGGCAGGAGCTGATTTCCAGAGTTATTTCCTCTTCCCACTCCAGGCACAACTCCCCAGGGTGAGGTGGCACTTGGCGCGGGGCAGTCAGAGCACCAGAACGTCACATGGCCTGTCCTCAGAGCCACCTCGCTGAGCACAGAGCAAACCCAGCCAGAGCCACTGCCAAAGAAACAGCCATCGCTTCTGGGAAGGGGAAAATAAGGCTCAAGTGCATCTATTAAAAAAATAGTAATAGATCTCTTGATTTGTAGTCTGTTACCTCTCCCAGAACAAGAGATGGTAGCAAAGGCAATGAGGAGCTGTGTCCCTGCAGGCTGAGAACTGCACGAATCCGGAGCAGCTTCTCTGTACAAGTGGGACGCGGAGGATCCTGCCGGAGGAGCCCGGACACCGAGGCGTGGGAAGCACAGCTCGTGTTGCTCCTGCTGCTCCAGCCGGGGGAGCAGGGGGCAGGAGCAGCTCAGAACGCAGCTCAGAACACGGGCAGCCTGGTGGAGGTCAGCGTGCACGAGTTGATGTCCTCGGTGTGGGCGGCGCGGTGCAGGGACGGCTCCGAGGCGCTGCGGTTGATTTTGGGTAGAGAGTGCTGCAGCAGCTCGATGGATGACAGGATCTGGGGGGAGACAGCAGGTTAGAGAGGCTTGTGGGACCAGCAGCTCCCTCTGTTTCCATTTAAACATTCACTCATTCAGTTCTTCCCCAATTCAATTACGGCTTTAAGTTTTATTATAATGCTTTGTGGAGCACTGAAAACAGAGGTGGAGGAATCCAGCTCTGCCTGCCCCTGTCAGTGCTGTGAGGGCCTCAGGGAGTTCCAGAGGGTGGGAGGGTGTTTTTCATCAGTTCACAGACATTAAGATCAATTATTAAGATCATTAAGATCAATTAATAAGCATCTAAACCATCCTCCAGTAGAGTAACGGGAAAGGAACTGCATCTTCTGCCTGACACTTAAAAAGAACTTTCTAAACAATGCTTGACTGCAAGAGCAGTAAGTTATTTTTCCAAAATTTCTGATGTTTAATTAATTACTCATAATTAATAAGCATAAGAAAGTACCTTCCCCATAGTGACAGGAGAAGGTGGAGAATCCCTTGTAAAAATACCAGAAATTGCTACATGAATTTACATCCCCCAGTGGATTTTGCTTGTTCAGAGCTGCAGGGAAGGAAAGGAGGAGTGGCCCCTTATTTTTCTGAACCCTACTCTAAAATAAAATGGATATCCAGAGATAGACTGCATTTTTACTGTGTTAAGGGTTTGGCTTGTCTCTAGCTAGGTCAGGGGTTGAAATCCTGCTCTGGGGTTAGCCCAGCAAATGCTGCAGGTTGTGTTTCATGTCACAGAAACTGCAAGTCCAACCAAAACAAACTGCCAAAAGAGCTGCATTATGAACAAAGACAGGCTGCACCTCCTATTAACCAAAATTTCTACCTGAGCAGACTCTGGTGTGTGCTAATGGCTCTTGATAAAACCCTCAGGTTCCTGTGCAGGACACCCCACTCACCTGTGGGAACAGAGGTCGTTCTTCCCTAACTTTCTTCAAACAATCTGCTACGAGTCTCTTCATGGCTTTGGGGCAGTTCTTGTAC